AACATCTCTTGTATGTTATATTACGATTACAAAGGAAGTAAGAAGAATTTACTTGCTTTCGTGATTAATTGTTCCATCATTATATATACATATTTAATATCTGACTCAAAATGCTCAAAAGCAAAAAATGAAAGTTGCAATCAATATATTAGACAACCGATAATGACTGATGACACCGATTATCCTTTTGTTGGCCGATTTTCACCAAAAGGCGATATAACTTTGACGGCATACAATGGTACAGAAATCAAAGAAGGAAAAGCGGCACCAGGACCAACTTTCGTTTATCTTCGTATAAACATCACAGATCCTACATTTGGTGATTTCGCTCAAGAATCATTCTTTAGGATGACTTTATATGATTCAGGCAAAGTTTTTTCTAATATTGATGGTAGATCTTGCTGTTTTGATAACGATAATCGATATTAATATGGCAATAAATGAATACCGATATGTAGAAAGTGAAAGTGGCACGAAGCGTCCATCTCCATTTGAAGAATCACTTTTCTATTTGAATAAATATACTTTATCAGGAGGTTTTGTATGTATCGGTATGCTTGAGATCATCATTTTAGGAAGGGCATAAATTTGCAAATTGACAATATGCTGTTAATAGTTCTATAAGTTAGGGTTCTCTAGAAAAATCAGAAAAACATTTGCTCAAGAATATTTATCTTACATTGGTCTCCCACAAACATACCATAAAATACCTTACATTGAATCAGGAATGCGTAAGAATCTTTGATTTAAAAGCTTTATATCATCATGTGTGCATTTTTTAACCTTTTTAAATCCTGATTCTGCAGAGAGTGTCCCGATGGCATCTCTAAACACAACTAATCTAATTGTACGTATTAGTCCACGAAGCTTTATTATAGAAGAAGAACAAGAGCAAAGGTAAAAATCAGCTATCAAATTGATCGTGATGATTTAAAATAATCACCCTCATGAGTTAAATCCCTTTGCTAATATTTGCATGCACAATTTTCCAAATAATGTATAGGACCCTTACTGTAATAATATTTGAAATTTCATCATTTTTTTTGAAAAATCTGTCATGCATAAATAATATTCTTTCGGATAAATAGATTTTAGGCACACTAGGAACTATTGCTGCTTATTATAGTTCTATTGCGTTTATTTATGTATTTTTATTTGGTAAGTTGCCCTTTTTTGAGTTAATCATTGTGTGCTATAATTCGCTCACTCAATTATTTCAAAAATATTTAGGAGTTGACTCAATGACACCATGGGGTGTTATACATGGTGGATGCTGCGGATTGAGGA